TAAAATAACATTTAGTGAGCTGGAGACATGATTCAGCAGTTAAAAGCACTGGCTGCTCTTGTAAAGGACCCATATTCCATCCTCAGTGCTCATATGTTGGTTCACAATGGTCTATCACTCCAGTTCCAGGGAATTCAACACCCTCTCTGGCCTTCTCGAGCCAGAGGCTCGCACATTGGGCACAGACTTACAAAGCACCTATATACATAAAATATTTTTTAAAGTTTCTAGACTATTATCTCTTATGAATGTAGATGCATTCTTACCAAAATCTATGTCAGAATGTATATAAAAAGGGATGATACAACATGATTAAGTGGCTGAGTCTAGAATGCAATGTTGATTTAATTTTCAAAAGAATAAGGCTATAGTGATGGTTCAGCAGTTAAGAACACTCACTGCTCTTCCAGAGAGCCCTAGGTTCAATTCCCAGCATCCACATGGTTGCTCACAACAGTCTGTAACTCCAATTCCAGGGGATCTAACTACCTCTTCTGGCCTCTGTGGGTACTAGGCACTGAAGTGCTCAGACATACCATGCAGACAAAACACCTATACACACAATTTTCTTAAATACTATTCTATAAAAAGCATAACTGTAAGACCACATGAACTGAGGAAAAGTTAGAGATTATCTCAGTGGATATAGAAAAAATATATAATGAAAATTAAACTCATTAAATTTCAAACCAAATACACACACACACACACACACACACACACACACACACACACACACACTATGCTAGAGATGTAGCTCTGTTGACAGAGTGCTTGCCTAGCACACAGGGTTCAGTCCCTAGCACAACATCAAGCCCAACATAGAAAATTAGAAGTTCAAGGTCAACTTGGGGTTTTTTGGTTGGTTTTGGCTTTTTGGTTTTTCAAGACAGGCTTTCTCTGTGTAGCCCTGGATGTCCTAGAACTTTTTCTGGAGACCAAGCTGGCCTCAAACTCACTGAGATCTTCTTGTTTGTGCATCCCAAATGCCAGGATTAAAGGCATGCACCACCAACAACAACTTGGACTATATGAGACCTTATCTCAAAAATAACCCAGCAAAAGTTTTTTTGAGTGCTGGTATTGGAGAAAACATACTCAGGGCCTGTACTTGGTGCCCAGTATAACCCCAACAACACACTTGAAGGTTAAACTGGATCTTTCCCATTTAAAGAGAACAAAAGAGTATCAGTGGTAGCACAGACCTGCAGGTTCATCGCTTGGAAGACTGAGGCCGGAGGGCTCAAAGTTCAAGGCCAGTCTGGGTTCTATATCAGAAGACTGATTTGGGCAGAAAAAGAGAGGGAGAAGCAGGGGAGGCAGTCAGGCCAGGCTTGATAGTACACACCTTTAAACCGAGCACTCAGGGAGCAGAGGGAAGTGGATCTCTTTGAGTTCAAAGCCATCTTGAGCTACATAGTGAGATACTCTTTCAAAAAGAGAGTGGTTGTTTTACCAAAATGTCCTAGCCAAGTGAATGCAACTCAAAAAGAAAAAGCACATGGATCTCAAAGGAAAAGGAATCTTGCCTTTATTCTTAGATGTCATGATTTATTAGAGTACAGAAGAAAAAAAAAAGTCGGCAGAACTACTAAGTTGAATTAAGCAAAACCACAGAAGATAATATCTTCTATTATCAATGTATTAAGTTGGTTGCAAGTTTTTAATTGCCAAGTTATACAGTGAGCCTCATCATGGCACTTCCTATGAATGTGCAGTAGTTTGGTCTTTGTTCCTCTTCTCCATGTCCCCTCCGCATCAACGACTAGCTCCCTCTCTCCCCGAGACAAGCCAGCCAGAACGTGCTTAACATGCCTGAGACCCTAGATTTGCCTAGATTTATTCTATACCACTGGGGAGGGGGTGATAAAGATTACTTGTATGTACTAAAAACAATTAGATCAAGTTTTAAAATATATACTATTTTTATGGCATCCAAGAATATGAAATACATGAGTCATTTTCAGTCTGTACTGAAATCTATAGAATACCACCACGGAAATCTAGACTATAATCTGTTCGTGATCTAGAAACACTGTGATGTCGATTATCTTCATCGTGCGTTTTCTGGGGGTTTGTTGTTGTAGAGACAACATACGTGCCAGGCAAGCACTTCACCATGAAATTACATCTCCACAGCCCCTGACATTGATCTCTATACTCAATAAAATCTGAAATTTTTCAAATAAGTACTTTAAATTTTTGTTGGTGTATAGTCATTGCACATAAAGATGGATTGAATAGAGACTTTTTTTTTTAAAGATTTATTTATTTATTTATTTATTTTGTGTATGAGTACACCATTGCTCTCTTCAGACGCACCAGAAGAGGGCATCAGATCCCATTACCGATGGTTGTGAGCCACCGTGCGGTTGTTGGGAATTGAACTTAGGACCACTGGAAGAGCAGTCAGTGTTCTTAACCACTGAGCCATGTCTCCAGCTCCGAGACTTTTTTTTTTTTTTTTTTTTTTTTTGAGTCAGGTTCTCACCATGTAGCTCTGGCTGTCCTGGACTTTTCCAATGTAGATCAGGCCTGCCTCTACCTCTGAGTGCTGTGATTAAAGGTGTGTTCTACTTCAGCCGGCTCCATAAAAACATTTTCATTTATGGACTTTCTCCAATAGAAATTTGAAAAGGAGCCAGGTAGTAGTGGCACACACCTTTGATCCCAGCACTCAGCCTTAAAATATTTGTTTAAAATAAAAAGATCAGCTCAGGCATTCATGCCACCTGATCCCAAGATCTACTGTCAAACCAGGGTGCCTCTAGCTTGAGGGCAGACATGCAAACCAATGAAACAGAAGCAGCCCAAAAAGAGACTGATCAATATAATTGATAGACAACAAAGATGCCTAGGTCAGCGTACAGGAAAGGATAGTCGTTTCCAGGATTGGTGTCAGAGGATATGCATTTGGGGAAAGCAGGAGGGGAGAGATGGGCAGTGAGCCATTTCTACTACATAAATAAAAATGGACTCAAAATAATATAGTAGCATATGCCTGGAGTCCCAGATACCCAGGGGGCAGAGACAAATGTTCACAAGTTTAATGCCAGCCTTTCCAATATGTGACACTGTTGTGGAGTTCATAACCCCTGGGGAAAGACCACAGACTCAATCTGGATTGTAATTAGTTAAATGTATTGAAGCTGTTAGCAGGACAACAATCTCTGAACCAAAGGAAATTGCTATGTGGAGGGAGTGAGGGAAGGATTTTAAAAGGCAAAAGTCACCAGATGTTGAATATCTCTGCACAAGCAAGCCAAGAGCTGTTCTGTCTGTCAAGATTAGGTAACCAAGGTAACCTCAAAATACTCCTTGAATGTCTGCATAAGCAAGTTACAGAAACCAAAAAGCCATCATATCATAACAAGTAGATGGCACAGCTGTACATTTTTGTGTAAGGATGAATATGTCTGGGTTACTGGGAAGTTATCTTCCAGGGATTGGAGTCAAAGACAAATGGCTAGTGGGTGTCAGGACAGGTGCCTGGCATAAAAGGGAATTTCTTTACCCATCACAGCACCATCCTAGAAAAGCTAACTCAAAATAGATCATGCATCTAAGAAGCAAAGCTAAAATTAGAGTCAGGTGTGGAGATGGAGGTGCCCACCTATAATTCTAACACTTGGGATGGAGAGCTAAAGAATCTTTTGAGTTCAAGAGCAGCCTTGCTATATACCCAGACCTTGTTTTGGGGAGGAAGGAATGGAGGGAGGGAGAGAGGGAGGGAGGAAAGAGACAAGACATAATTTGCAGTGAAAAAAATCTCCGAAATACATATATTTGACACAAAACAAATATCCAGTATATATAAAAAGCATCTATAAATTATAACCTCAATAAAAAATAATCTCGAATAATTCAATTTTAATAACTGAACAGGTATTTTGAAAATGCCAGCTTGCACATTACCAATAATCACTTTAACTATTCAACATCCCTTATTATCAAGGAAATGCAGATTTAAAACTACAACAAACTACCACCAACAGGCTGAAGATATAACCTAGTAGTAGAACATTTGCTCTGAGGGAAATAAAAAACAAAACAAGATACAGCCCCTAGAGTGGTTAAACTTAAGAACACCAGCAATGCCAACCGTTGGCAAAGGTGCAGAGCAGTTACTATTTTCATATACTGTAGGTAGAAATGTATGACAATCGTCATTGCTGACACTTTCTGCCAGATGGCAAAGCATCTCTAAGTCGAGTAGCAAAGACAGCTCTTCTCCTGGTAACCCCAGTAAGTCCCCTCTGGCTGTGAACCCTGGGTCTTATACAGGAGCTTCTTTCTGGGCCAGCTTCACCTGAAAGCTGGTTGGAAATGCAAATTCTTTTGGCTCTACCTAGACCTGCTCAATGGGAAACAGCCGAGGTGATGCTCAAAAATCAAGTTTTAACCGAGGGCCAGGTGCTTCTAGGGTAGGAGGGGATTGCACACCTTCCCTTCCCCTCCTCTTCCCCAGGCTTCTTAACAGCCTGCTGTGGGAAGCTGACCCTTGGATGAAGCCCTGAAGCCATATTGAGGACCTGCAGTAGAGGTGCAACCCATGACTGGCAGCGCAGTAAGTGTGAGCAGGGGATGAGTGGGACTCACCACTCACACATCCTGGTGTCCCCTCCCTCTCCACACTGGGGTTCTGGGAGGGCCACAAGGGCAGTCATGTGGTCTCTCAGCAAGCTTCCAAACTTGGGCTAGACAAAACCACCATTCCTTTCACTGCTGTGTTGAGAGTGTCTGTCTCAGGTCTGGGGATGCTCTGATCAGTTGGGGTGTGGGGTGTGGGAAACTTGACTTCTAGTTTTTAATGGTTGTTGGCTATAGCCAACATTCCCAGGACTCAAGGAAGCATCCCTTATGGAAGGCTATGAACTAACCTTTCCATTACTCAGAAAACAGTAATAACAGCTGAGCTCCAAGCAGGAACCCAGGACTTTGCCTCATCATAGACATAATTCTTCTCTGCAACACCACCACCAAGCTGCCCAGTAATCGACATGAGTCACCATAGCACCAGCAGTGTGACTGAAGTCATAACAAGGAACCTGCTCTGGGGTAAGGGCTAAGGCCTAAGGCCGTCCCCAGTAAAGGTGGAGTGGGTTTGCTGGTGAACTGTACCTCTAGTGTAGAGGAACTCGGGAGCCTCCAGCCCCACACTGCCGTCTTCTCTATCCAGGCAGTGAACTCAATCAGGAAAAGCAGGTTTGCACCTTTAGAGCCCAAGGCCAGAAGACAGACATCTGTAAACTCTTGCTCAGCACGGTGGGTATCTCCCAAGGAGGAGGAGGAGAAGGCTGGAACAAGAGTGAGTCTCCAGCCTCAACAGCTAACAGCTTTTTTCCATCACCCTTCTCAGATCTGCCTGGGCGAGAAAGCCAAAGAGGAGGTGAACCGGGTGGAAATCCTCTCCCATGAAGAGAAAAGACCAGCAGTCACTATTGCCACGCTGAAGGCCTCCGTCCTGCCCATGGTAAGTCTTCTCTCCCTGCAGGCCCAGGGAAGCTGTCACTGCCCTAACTTCATCTTCAGATGGGCTCAGAAATAATTGTGGATGCCTTCATGCCCTGGGCTTCTAGCCATGCTATCAAGGCGACCGGCGAAAGCATCCCAATTCCTGCTTTCCAGAGCCTGTGCCATGAACAAGCCAAATGTCTTCAACAGTATCCCGTTTACCCTGTTTATACTAGTCACCAAGATATTTTCTGTGGCTTACATTTGGGCTTTGAGTGTGGAAGTTCTTCCTTCTAGTAATGTATCTCACGCTCTGCATTTAATCATTGTGTGTGAATGATGGCACGTTTGTAATTTGGAGATTTTGAAAAGTAATGCTGTATAAGTGAGAGGAGGAGAGGGAGAGGTAGTTCAGGCACATGTACCACAATACATGAGGAGGTCAGCGGTCAGCCCAGGAGTTAGGGTTCTCCTGTTGTGGGATCCAGAAATTGAACTCAGGTTGCTAGGCCTATACATCAAGTGCTTTTACCTGCTGAGCCATCCAGCCTGCCCTGAGACGGGGTCTCATATTGTATCACAGAGTAGCCTCAAAGTTCTCTTCCTGCCTCCCCTTCCCTGGTGCTGGGATGACAGGTATATGCCACAACACAGACCCTTTCCCTTGTACTATAATCTCACTGCATTGCCCCATGGGCTAGGGCTTTTGGTATAATACAAATATTCTCTGACTTAAAAATTAACTTGTCTGTTGAAAATATCATAGTTGGAAAACGATTTACTATGCGTATCCCCTGGTACTCCCTTGTTTGGCACCATGACAATGCTGTGGAGGCCTCATCTGTCTCCCTTAGAGAAACCAGGGCACAGAGAATATCGGGATGCTCGCTGAACCAGCCAGGCACAGGCAGGGTTTTTATCACATATCACTGGCCCAGGAAAAGATCAAAATTCAGAATTCAGGTGTGTGCTTCCACTAAATGGGTTTAACTCTTGCAACATTGTAAAGCCGAAAACTCCTGAGTAATTGGGAACTGTAATTGGGTAAATGTGACCTGAATGTCTGACATCTTTTCCTCTTCCCCGATTTAAGATGGCTCTCCATGAAGTGCTTGACAAATAATGCCTCACCAAATTAATGAAGCCCCCATGTGGTACTGCTATGCTTTGAAGTTTTTATTTTCATTCCTGACTAGGGAGTTAAACTTTAGCAAACGCTGCTTTATTTGTATTTCACACGTGTGTTTTGCCTGCCTATGCTCTGCAGAGCACGTCACACCCAGTTCCTCCAGAGGCCAGAAGAGGGCCTCGAAAGTGGAATCTCGGAGGTTTTGGAAACACCATGTGGTTGCTAGGACTCAAACTCGGCTCCGGCTTCTCCGGAAGAACAGCCCTTGCTCTTACTAGCTGACCCTTTTCAGCCCCTCAAATGTTCTGTTGACTCACCTGATCTCAGATTCTTTCTCCACCAACCCATTACCACACCATTCTGTTGGGAGAAAAACATTTGGGTTTTCTCGATCATCCAAACTCTGAATTCCCTTTAACATGTTGCCATCTTTCTTGAGGATTCCTGGGGTGGGTGGGGGTGTAAACATGCATGCCACAGCATGTGGTGGTCAGAAAACAGCTTTGTGGAGCTTTGTGCCTCCCTCTCCTTTCTTGCTTTTGCTTGTTTCTTGCTTTATTTTGTTCTTGTTATTGTTTGAGACAGTCTATGTAACCTAAACTAGTCTCAGACCCACAGTGGTCCTCTTGACTCTGCCTCTTCCCAAGTGCTGGGATACTGGTGTGCACCACACTGACTCCCTCTGTTCTTAAAAGTGAAAAGCAGAAAAGCAATTTATTCAGTGTGGTCACATGGGAAAGGGAGACACTTGCTTCTGTGTTTGGAGTTTTTGTTTTGTTTTGAACCAGTGTGTCTCTTGTCACCCAGAATAGCTGGAACTTACAATCCTCCTGCCACTGCCTCCTCAATGCTGGGGTTTCGCAGCATTGTGTGACCAGCATCTACCAGGGGCCAGGCTGAGTTATTTGTGTCTTCTATGTTGCCCTGACGTCTTCTTCCCACCACAGGTCACAGTGACTGGTATGGAGCTTTTTCCTCCAGTAACTTTTCGGCTGAGGGCTGGCTCGGGGCCGGTGTTCCTCAGTGGCCTGGAACATTATGGTAAGTTGTATCCTAGGTACCTGAGGCCTCAAGAGATTCTTGACTCTTTGTACTGACCCTCCAAAGCAAATGGCTGCCAGTGGCCTGAACTAGAAGGCTGTGACAAGGGCTTCTCACCTTTCCATGTCCTTTGTGGGCCTCAGGCCTCAGCTTTACCATGAGTGAGGGGCTCTTGTTTCGGCTTCAGAAAATACTGTAGGGTAAATAGGGTCTTACAAAAGACTCTTAGCTGAGCATGGTGGCACAGGCTTGTATTCTCAGTCCTCGGAAAGCCTGGGCTATAAAAACAAGACCCTCTGCCCAAAACAGAAGCTCTTAGTCTAACTAGTACTTGGGTGCATTTCACAGAGTGGCTCCTAGTGAGCATGACGCTGTACTGACAGCATGGGCCACAGCGACTTACCACACTGGCACCTTTAAGATCACTTCCCAGCCTAGCAGGTGGTGGTCCACACCTTCAGTCTCAGTACTCCTCAGGGAGGCAAAGGCAGGTGAATCTGAGTTAGAGACTAAGCCTGGTCTACAGAATGAGCTCCAGGACAGCCATGGCTATACACACACACACACACACACACACACACACACACACACACACACACACACAAATCTGTCTTAAAAAAACAAAAACAAAAAAAAACAGAAAAGATCCACCTCACATTAGACCTCACCTCTGAACAGGTCCCACTACCTCAACATGGAACACTGGGGTCCAAGTTTCCAGTCCATCACCTTTGAGGGCGGAGTCATCCTGTAGTCCATCCTGCTCTCCTCCCCTGCTGACCCACCCCCAGTCTTGGCCCAGCCAAGTCTCACTACACAGTCTCCCCCTGCCCGCCCTCCTTCCCCAACATCCGTGGAGCTTTCCTGCCCCTTGCTTCGCCCTGACCCCTACTTTTCTGGGAGGGAGAGAAAGGATACAGCCCACTGCAGAAGATGAACTCTCTCAACCCAGCACTTGCCTGGGGTTAAATTCAGAGCCAAAAGAGACCTGGATTGGGAGGTGGGCCTTGAGCCTTGAGGTCAGATGCTCTGGTTTTCCCTACCATGCACTAGCTAGTTCTGCCTACTTTTCATACCATTCCAGAAACTTCAGACCTGTCCTGGGACGAGGAAGAGGAAGAGGAGGAAGAAGAAGAGGAAGAGGAGGAAGATGAAGAAGCAGATATATCGCTAGAAGAGATACCTGTCAAACAAGTCAAAAGGGCAGCTTCCCAGAAGCAGATGAGCGTAGCTAAGGTGAGGGGAAAGAGTGAGGTAGGGCATTGGGACCTGAGCTGGGGCTCCCATGTTGGGCATTTGGGACAGGCCAAGGCCTCCTCCACTGAAGTTCTGGAGGTCTCAGTTGGGACTGCTCGGCACTCAAGAGTGTTCTGTCTCTGGGTCATGGGTTAACTTTTCCAAATAACACTTGGTTTTTGTTCCCAGAAAAAAAAAGTGGACAAGGAAGAGGAGGAGGCGAGGTAATTCACACTGATAAATTACCCACAGCCCGCATGAGCACTGAACCGCATGAGCTACAGACCCAGACTTGGGGTTGGGCTTGGTTTGATGGGTGTTTGTTTGATTTCCAGAAACAGGGTTATCAGTAAGTTGCCCAGGCTAGCCTTGAACTACTGTATAGCTCTGGCAGGCCATGGAGTTATTCTCCTGCTTCAACCTCCCTGGTAACTGAGATTACAGACTCACACACCAGGCCCAACTGAAACAGCAAAAGTTCTTCCTGTGAGATAGCTAGTCCTGGGAAGCAGGGTACACACAATGTGTGTCTTACATGCACACATGCGGCCTCAACAGCCCTGGAAAAGTATGCACTAGCCTTCTGACCTGACTCCATCTCAGGTAATTCCATTCAAAACCAACCAAACAAAAACCAGTTCAAGATCTATGCTCAGAAACTCGGCCTATCCTTACCCAACAGTCCTGGAAAGAGCAGCATCCATAAATGTCCACATAAGAGCTGACCAAACCAGGCCCCAGTGTGGTGCGCGTGGAGACCAGCGTGCCTGAGGCTTGTCTAGTCGATCCTGGAGCCGCTTATAGGGGTAAATGACAGATTGGATGCACTGATGGGAAACTCTGAGGAAATTGAAAGGAAGGTGGAGAAAGCCTTTTCCCTCACTGCCTGTGTAGGCACAGAAGTCCCAAAGCGGGAGTGGACCTGTCCAATCCCCAGGACTAAAGCCAGTAATGGCAGAGCAGCAAGTACACCCAACAGTGTCCACTTATGCGTGATGAACAAACCAGGCATGTTTCTGAATCACTGGGAGTCCTGGGGTCTCTTTGGTTTGTAACCCTAAGGACAAATCTCTTCTGAACCTTCCCTACCCCAAGAGGGGCTGGTCATGTCAACAAGCCTTGTAACCAACAAGATCCTGTAACAAAGTCTAGCAGAACCATCACTCACTCTGCCTCTCTACACTAAAGTTTAAGCCTGGGTGTGGTTGCACACACCTTTGATCACAGCATTGGGGAGGCAGAGGCAGGTGGAGCTGAGTTCAAGGCCACCCTGGCCTACAGGCTGAGTTCCAGGACAGCCAGGGCTACATAATAGACTTTGTCTCAAACAAAAAAACTAAAATGTACTTAAGTATATATTGTCTGAGCCTATCCTCCCATACTCTCCAGCCATCCCTATCACCACAAGTCCCTCTCTTGGTATGAAAAGAGCACTTTTTATACCTGAAAGGAAAACAAAGGAAATCTAAGAAGAAAACACCCTCTTAAAAGAGGCAGAACAGAAAAGGAAGGAAGGAAGCAAAGCTGAGGCTGAGCATGCCAGAGATGGTCTGTTCCCTACCACCACAGAAAATTAAAAGTGGGTTGGGGCTACAGCTCAGGGATAGAGTGCTTCCAAGTCCATTCCGTATCGCTGCAATAAATAAATGCACGCCAAAAAAAGGCAAAACGGGAGAGGTGACCAGGAGGGATAACCCTGCAACTTTAGCTCTCCGGGCCAGGTCCCCTGTCTAGATGAACTACATGCAGCTATCAGGAGGGGTCAGTGATGGCATGAAGCTGCACTCTTTGCCTACTCTGTCCCTATTCCTTTCCAGGCCCAGCCCTCAGGACAAGAGCCCCTGGAAGAAGGTAAGCAATGAGAAGTTGGGGCTGGCCCTGGGGAAGGCTGCCAGGCCAGGGAGGGTGGTAGACTCTTCAGTCTCTTATCTGCACAGGGGAAAGCTACACCCAAACCTAAGAAGTCGCTGTCCAAGAAATGAGCTCATCTGAGCATCTTCTGTGTCCAAGGCGGGATGTCTACCAGCTGTGCTGTGGGCAGGCGTCCAGACCCACCACCTTAGTCTAAATGTAATAAAAATGTGTGAGCACCATACCAGCTGCCCTGCAACCCAGCCCTCAGTTCCTGGAGGCTCTTGGAGCCCCCAGCATGTACGCCTAGGACCACAATAAAATTTGCATGATCAGAACCTCCCTCTGCCTCCCCCTCCCTGAGTGGGTCTTCTTGCTGCTACGCTAGCTCATGTACCCAGCAGAGGGCAACCACGAGCAAGAAATCAGCCCCATGTTGCTTTCTCAGGTTTCCACCCCAGGACTGAGGGAATGCCTTGGGGGCTAGCCTCAGTGAGCTGGGGCTGAGAAGGCTTTCTTTGGGGCAGGTGAGGTTTATATATGCAGGGCTCTAGAATTCAACCCTCTTTTGATACCTGGAACAGTTTGGGCTTGGGTCAGACCCTTCCATGTCCCTGCTCTGGGACAACAAGGGGCGGAAGGACTTAGGCTGCTATTACGAGATGAAGGCCCATATGACACTTAACAGGACACAGGCCTATATCAGAGTGAGCCGGCCAACAGCTGGGAAACAGCGGGTGACCACTGCATGGCTCTGGCTGCCTGGCCTCCTTAGCATGCTGAGGTACCTCTGGAGCCTGTTCACTGGGGAGTGGCCATGGTTTCACCCCTGATTTGAGTAGGACACAAGGTAATCCTAGGGTAAAGGGCTCTGCTTGCGGAGGAACCTGAGCTAAGCGGCTCCTGCCTGACCACAGCATCCCTGTAGGCCAGGCCAGAAACAAGCCAGCCAAGAGCTGCCCAGAAGCCTGTGTGTGAGGCCCAGGAGGTTATAAACAAGCTTTGAGTCCTATTCAGTTCCTTGGCCCATCTCCTTGACCCTTGCTGCAGATGAAGTTCATCCAGCCTGCTTCACTGGTATCAGTCACGGCGGTATAGGAAGAGCCAAGCTACCCACCTCCACCCCCACTAAAGTCACCTTAGCCTGGTGGTAACACAAAGCCAACACCATGATTTCAGTTCCTGGCAAGTGCTTTGGAGGAAGGAAAGCGGGGTGTTAAGAGATCTGAAGAGGCTGCTGACATGGAGGATTTGGGGAAGCTAGCAAGCCCATTCCTGTGAATGCATCTGCTGTGAGTCAGGGTACATCTCCAAAGTGTCCATCCAGAAGGATGGCTGTCATGGCAGCAGTAGCTACAAGCCCAGGCTATACATGCTGTCCCCAGACTGGCTCCTCATGCCACGACTATACCTCAAGGTTAGGTTAGCTTCATTTCTTAGAGAATCAGAGCACATTAACAGTCTGCACCAATGTTATGGAGCAGAAGGGGGAGCTAGAGAGTCTGGCGTTAGAGCCTTTGCTTTTGACCACTCTGCTGATCGAGAATTTCCTGCCAGTTTGTAGGCAATCTAGTGAGCTGAGGGCAAGGGCTAGAGAGTGCTGTCCTCAGTGAGGAGAGCCTACTCATGGCCAGGTACAGACATAGAGACTTCTTCCCTCCTGCATCCCCAGGCAAGGCTCTACCGATCGGAGTGCTTAACAAGTACACCAGATCCATACATGAGCCTGACCAACAGGACATTAGTGACCACCTGCGTGGATGCACAAACTTCCGGTAGAGTCAGATGTCAGTCACGTTGCTGGGGTGCCTTTGCCCTAGCCCACCTATGTTTCTTGGCTAGGCTGAGACTGGTAGCAGTGTTTGCAGTAGCTGGGCTGCTGGCACAAGTGTGAGACAGCCCCAGTGGGGGAAGGGGTGGGGTTGGACTTGGTACTAAACGGTGAGGATTAACTAGAATTTTGGTAGCTGCATTTCTCTCAACTTAATCTCAAAGGTCCCCATAAATGTTAAACTCTCCCTCCCCAGCTCACCCCACTAGGAGAGAAAGTCTGCCTAAGTTGAGGTAAACTGAGGCCAAGCCACATCAAGGGTCATTGTCCCCCTTCCCCCTCTTTGCAGGATGAGTCTTTGTCTCAACTGACATGACAGCAATTTCGAACTCACTCTGTAGACCAGGCTGGCCTCAAACTCAGAGCTCAGCCTACTCTAGAGTGCTGGGATTAAAGACATGCGCCACCACAGCCCAGCTCCTTTTTCTAAAAAAAGAACCTAGAGCCAGAGAACCAACTTTTCAAGTCACAGAGCAAGGGATGGAAGATGGTGATGAGATCCAGAACCCCGTTCCCATCCCCAGCTCGCCATGCCGCCTCCCTCAGAACATAGAGAACAAACCTAAAAGCCTGAACATGCCTGATAACCAGGGATGGAGAAGTCAAGGATAGCTCACACGCAAAGCAGGCTACCCTTGTTATCCCCCACCCCCACCCCGTATCTCCCTGGTACCAGATTCTGACTGAGCCTCAAGACCAAATTTCACTGCTGGCATCTGTTACCATGGAGACTTAGGCTGCACTGAGGGCTAGCCAGTGAGTGACAATGGGCCCTGTCCCCAGTGACAGGAGTCAGGTGCTCAGACTCATAGACCTTGAGCAACCCCCACAGCCTCCTGGTGAATGAACACGGGGTGTTGATGCCCCACGCCTGTCTTCTGCTTCCGGATGACACCATCACCACCAAATCCCTAGCTGTCTCTCCATGCACCCGAGCCCTCCTACCTGCTGGCTGCCTGACTCCGCAGACTGAACTCGGGTGGGGTCCCTGCAAGCGAGTAGGGATTGTGGAAATGGGGTGGAGTCTGATGGAAAGAGGACAAGCTTCCCTGAAGAGGCAGAGACTGCGGTGAACCTCAAATGGTGGCAAGAATGTGGAAGATGGAAAGGGTCTGGTGGGAGGTAGAGGTGTGCCCAGTGGAGCTGAGAAGCTGCTTCTGAGAACACCAAGCTGGGTTGCAGTACTGTGCTCTGCTGGGCCCTGGCCCCCTGGCCCAGCCACAGGCACTTGCTGTTAGATAATAGGTTATCACTTGCCTTCTAGTTTTGGTTCCCCCCCCCCCCCAAGACAGGGTTTCTCTGTATAACCCTGGCTGTCCTGGAACTCACTCTGTAGAGCAGGCTGTCGTGGAACTCACAGAGATCCTCCTGGCTCTGCCTCTGAATGCTGGGATTAAAGGTGTGTACCACCATGGCCAGCCTTGTTTGTTTCACATTCCAGGCTGGCCTCAGACTTGCTAAGTAGTCAAGGATGAACTGATTCTTGAGTTGATCCCTCGGTTGTTTGAGCCTCTGAAGTACTGGGATTACAGGTGTGCAACCGCACCTGGCTTCAGCAGTGCTAGGGATAGGTCCCCAAAATTCATAAATGATAGGCCAGCCTTCTACCAACTGTGCTTCGTCCCCAGCCAACCCCCAGTCCTAGCTTTCTTTAAATTTGATTCCACCCCCCCACACACACACTCCCCTCTGGTAATTCCCACCTTCTCCAACAGCAATTCCAAATTCACTCCTAGGCCCCCTGCAGCGGCACTTTGAGTCTGCGGAAGAGAGGGCGGAGCTCTAAAGGCCCCTGCCAGAGCTGGCCAAAGGCCCTGTTTAGGGGACGGAGGAGGTATCTACTAGCTTGCCGGGAGTTGATGGGGGTGGGGGAAGCACAGGGTGGCAGACCACTTTGTGGATTGCCAGAATTCAGGAAGGTGAGAAGGCAAATAAATCCACCTGTGCTGCTCTGTGAGCTCAGGGAAAGGGAGCCAGAGCTCAGGCTCCCCAAATCGCTCCTCCTTTCAGCTCAGCACCACCCACCTGTCTGTAAGGAGAGAACTGGTCACCAGCTTTCAGATCCTCTGGCTGCCTGTCACTTTACAGTCAACTTAAACCTGTTAAATGCAGTGGTGCACACCTTTAATCGCAGCGCTCGGAAGAGGGGCAGGTGGGTCTGTGAATTGGAGGCAAGCCTGGTCTACACGGTGAATTCTAGGCCAGTCGATGCTACATAGTGAGACCCTGTCCAGGGTAGAAGAAGGGAGAAGAGAAAAAAAAAATCTACCAAGGTCTCTGAGCGCTAAAATAAAAATAAAGCCAGTGACAGGTTGGGACCTGGAGGGTGAAGTCACAATTCCAAGGAACAAAAAGAGCCTAGATCCTGGGAATGGGGCTCCTTCACTCACCAGCTGGCTTATTCTGAGCCAGTTACCTCCCGATGTGCCAGTTTCCTATCAGCAAACTGTAGTTAATATGGCTGATTTGGGTACCCAGCTACATGGGACTAGGGATCGGTCATATGTCCGTACTGCTGGGCGCTGCATTCCAGACAACTACTAGGGGACAGTGGTGGACTGGGGCCTGAAGGGCTAGGGCTGGGTACCAACCCCAAAATTAGGCCCAGACATCTTAGGGATTTCCACTCTGACTCACTGTCATCTCATTTGATCCTCCAATAATCCGATAGCTGAGCCCCCTCCCCCCCTTTTTTTAATAGACTACGAAGGGCCAGGCAAAAGTGACTCCCACTCTTCTTCGGGTCTCCATCTCAAACCAGTTTTTGTGAACATTGAGATCGTTCAAGAGCCCTAACTACACTTGACTCCCCATCTCTGGCCTCAACCTGTTGCACCCACTATTCGCAGCCTTACCCCTCCTTCCTGGTGGCAAGGGGTGACAAGCAGAGAAGCTGAGCCAGCAGTCGCTCAAGCCAAGCCCACCCCTGCTCCCTGGAGGGAGGCTCCTCCTTTTAAGGCTGCTTCTGGGAATTCCCTCCCCGAGCCAGAATTCGAGACCCCAGCCCCAGCTCGGTACCTGCAGCTCATTCTTAAGGAGATGAGGTTGCCGCATCAAACCTGAGGGCGGGAGCTGCTGACCCTGAGGAGGGGGGAGGGCAAGGCGCCTCCCTCCCTGTGCCTGCCGCTGGCCCCGCACTTCGCGGAGACCGACAGGTCGGTGCGGGTCAGGAATAAATCAAGAGAGATCGCAAGGGCCAGCCTCCTGATAGAGGACGCTCGCAGCTCCATCCTTTGAGCCCGGGGACCCCTGCCCGAGGCCAGTAGCCCAAGAGAGCGAGTACGCCAATCGGACCAGCTC